AAAGGGAAGACTGTGGCTGCAGAATTCTCTCGGAGAATTCTAGAAAGGTGACCTAATGAACAGAGAAATTGCTTCAATTTATGTTAGAGGACATTTCATTTCTAAACCAACATGCTTGCACAAAGTGACTTTCCATCTTGACATGAGCACAGACAATATTTGGAAAGGCAAATTTCAGGGGAATGTGATTTAATTGTTCATCAGATTAGGCCAGCCTCCAAAATGTCATTTGCTGCTCTCTTCTGCCAACTGGACCTAGTTTCACACTAAGAGGACTTTAATATCAGGGCCCAGGAAGATTGGCACCTTCCGAGATCTAAAATGGCTCAAAGGGGATTTTCTCCTTGACACTTGAACTTCATCAGTTAACCTGCCTCTCTGAAGTTCTCAAACACAGGCATCACGTGATGTATTTATTTTCCTGCTTCTTGCACCCTCAGCCTCAGAGAAAATCAACCAAATAAACAAAGGGTTGATCTGCATTTTAACAGCATTTCCAGAAAGATCTTTCAGTTTATTTGATACTGGCTATGTTTATAATGTCACCTATTATTTTCTTTCTCCTGTTTAGTTCCCTGGTAGCCTTAGATTTAAATATCAGGCGAGGGACTTAACATCCACCTCTGCTCCTCATGTATACATCACAGCCACAAAACCCTTCATCCTTCTGTTCATCCCGCCTTGTAATGAGCTAAGAATGGGAAGGAGATGCAGACTTCAGAGCCTTTCACACTGTGACACATGAGCAGAAAGTGCCATCTAGAGAGAGGCTGGGTTCTGTTCACAATAAATGTTAATACAAAAGGAATACAAAGCCACAGTCTCCTGTCCTGTCTGCAAAGTGTACCTTTGTTTAATGTGTCTTTTTCATTAGCCTTCCTGAGCAAAGCAAGCTGGGACATTTAAAGTCAAGTTCATGCAAATATTTAAGCAATGTGGCTGGGAGTCCCTGTCCTGGAGACATTGACCAAGCTGTTGTCACCAAGTATTCCCCATTCACTGGGGCAGCAGATATGACCTTGGGCTTCTGCAAAGAGCAATTCAGATGTGTCTTCCTCCATTGGAAAGCACAGAATTCAAGACTAAGTCATATTGCTGGCATTAAAATAAAATAAAATTGAAACACATTATACATGAACAGAAGACTGAACTTAGGTAGAAAATGTCCAAGCCCCAAACATGCTTTGAGTAGAGTCAAGAAAAATCTCACAGAGCATGCAAAATAAGGGGTCATCATAAAAATTAAGTAGAAGGAGCTTGAGCAGAATTTGTAGACATAAAAATTGGGTTAGGTTTTCATGGTTGTCTTTTTTTTTTTTTTTTTTTTTTTTTTTTACAGGCAGAGTGGACAGTGAGAGAGAGACAGAGAAAGGTCTTCCTTTTGCCATTGATTCACCCTCCAATGGCCACCGCAGCTGGTGCACTGCAGCTGGCACGCTGCGGCTGGCACACTGCGCTGATCCGATGACAGGAGCCAGGTACTCATCCTGGTCTCCCATGGGGCGCAGGGCCCAAGCACTTGGGCCATCCTCCACTGCACTCCCTGGCCACAGCAGAGAGCTGGCCTGGAAGAGGGGCAACCGGGACAGAATCCGGCACCCCGACTGGGACTAGAACTCGGTGTGCCGGGGCCGCAAGGCCGAGGATTAGCCTAGTGAGCCTCGGCGCCGGCCTTCATGGTTGTCTTGATCAGTTTAGGGAATATTCATGGAGGGGTTATTATTTCTGGATTTGCTTTTAAGCATTTTAATAACATGAAAGGCATGTTTGGGATAAGTTGCCATTTCAGATAAGCATTAAGTAAATTCACTGATGTGACTAGCCCGGGGTGGATTGTGGTTTAAGAGACATGGGGAATTAGGTGTGGATCTGACTGTGGATTGTAAACATGCTGGACTCAATAGAGATCCAGGAAACACAGCAGAAGTATTGGCAAGAAAAAGACCCTGCTTACGTGATCTCACAAGAGGTTTCTGAAAGACAGCTCACCTTGCACATGCTGTTCAAAATCACCAAGTTTGACCAGAACCTATCCTAAATGGAAAGGAGAGACAGGAAGCAAGTCCTTGGTGAATTGAGTTATTCCTGATTTAACAGTCAAACCAGACTTGCTTAGAAGGCCAACATCAGGTTCTTGGACCCTGAAAATTTAGGGAGGAAGTGTTTGGACAACATTGAAATCATTCACAATCAGTCATCCTCTGGAACAACATGGTAAAGTAAGAAAACCTGGAGTCTGGGGACCAGAGTGTAACCTCAGCTCTGTGGATTACGCTATGTATCCTTGGGAAAACCAATCTATGCCCATGAATCTCAGTATCCAAACCCAGAAAATGTGGGACTTGTTCTATATTAGCATTTCCTAAACTGTGTTCTGTATGTAGTAGTAGATTGTACTCCAAGATGGCCATGGCACTTCCTTGTACCACTCTCAGTGACCCTCTGCAATGCGACTTTGGCCTCCCACCAAGAGGAAGAGCAGTGTTCACATCCCTTGAGTCCAGCCTGGCCTTGTGACTTGTTTTACCTGATATTATGCAGCAGAAGTGCTGTTGTCCAACTTTCAGGAGTTAGGCCTTTGGCTGCCTAATGGTTCTGTGGTTGGCCCTACTGAAACATTGTCTTGAGCACACCTTTGCAAGAAAGCCATCTGGAAACAAGAAATCACATGAGAGAAGTGGCACCCCAGACAGCACCAACTGGGACAGCATCTTCCACCTTCCAGCACAGGAAATACATGGGATTTTGAAATATACATCTTCGCTGTTATCTGAAACCAGTAAATGTGGAGGCAATCTGTTGTGCAGCATTAGAGAACTCAAAGGGTGCTCAGTAAATTATGTGGTTTTATTGTCAAGTAAGGTTGGGTGAAGATTGGCTAAACAATTGTAAATAAGTTTATCAAACTATGGAGTTGCATACCTTTTAACATTCTAATGTGGACTTAAAACTCCAAAGCCTGGGAAGGATTTGAATGTCATGTCTGCCAGACTTCTTTTGATCACAGGATATTATTTTCCCTAGAAAACTGCTTAATCATTGTGGATCACAATGTGGGAAATACTGATGTGTTACAATTCCAAAGGCCCTGCCAGTCCTAGCATTCCAGAAGTCTGCAAAGGGAGCAGAGTGTTTTGGTCACTGTTTCTTCTTGATTATCTTGATGACAAGCAAATTCACTCCATAGTTGGTTGCTATGAATTTCATTATTCACTTCCACTGAAAGTGTTTTTTAATCAATTAACAGAGGAAAGCACTATTGGAATTATTAATGACCAATTAAATAGAGATTAAAGAGCTATTAACCTGCAGCTCAGTGGTGGAGACTCGGCTGACAGGTGGTGTAGGGAACTGATGGATATGGACCGAGGAGAGGCTGTCACAATGATGAAACAAGCAAAGAGCAGACTAATAGACGTATCTATTTCTTCTTGGCAGATTGTAATAGGATACGGGATTGTCCTGCTGATCTAGGGATCTAGAGAAAGCTCCTCATACAAAGAATGTGATTAGCACAAGAAGGACAACCCATCTGCACTGTGTGTACTCCATGCTCACAAAGAACAGTCACATGAACGGAGTACACGTGTGCATGGTATTCATGTGCTCATCGGTGTGAGAGCAGGCAGCTGGCAAGCAGAGTGTTGCCAAGTACTGCTTGTCATATGTAGGACATGTTGTTTCTCTGTGTGTATTCATGTTTATCATGGTGCATCTGACTTTGCATATGTTTGTATGGCTATCTGTGGATGCATTTCTTGAGTATTCATGTGCTCTTGTGTGTGGAGGCAAATGCACATGCACATATATGACTGGAATGCTGTGTGAGTAATGAGCTGTGCTCCTCTGTGCACCTGAAGAACAAAAGACAGGGGGACAAGAAGGGCCCATAGCCCAGGAAGGGGGCCACCATGGCAAGTGAGGGAAGCCTTGCCTTTGTCTAAGGGAAGGGAGCTGTCTCACTGAGTTGATGAGCTCACTCTACAAGGTGCTGGGGAAGATCAAGGAGACAACTGGAAATGATCAACAAGGAGATGCAAGGGGCAGGCATTTGGGTAGCAGTGAAGATGTCCCTCGGGATGCCTGCATCCCCTATTAGAGTGCCTGGGTTTAAGTCCCATGTCTGCCCGATTCTAGATTGCTGCTAATCTACACTCGTGGATGCAGCAGACAATGGATCAGGTACTTGGGTCCCTGCCACTCATGTGGAAGATGTGGACTGAATTCCTAGTTCCTGAATTCCATTTGGCCCAGCCATGGCTGCTGGGGGCTATTGGGGCATTAAGAAAAAACATACGTGGGAGAGCGCTATTTCTCTCTCTCTCTCTGCCTTTCAAATTTTTAAAAATTGTTTATCTTTTTAAAGTAAATACAAGTCTTGGAATCAGATTGGCAAATTTTTTTAAAGTTTTTTTTAATTTTTTTAACTTCTATTTAATGAATATAAATTTCCAAAGTACAGCTTATGGGTTACAATAGCTTCCCCCCCCATAACGTCCCTCCCACCTACAACCCTCCACTTTCCCACTCCCTCTCCCCTTCCATTCACATCAAGATTCATTTTCAATTCTCTTTATATACAGAAGATCAGTTTAGCATACATTAAGTAAAGATTTCAACAGTTTGCTCCCACACAGAAACATAAAGTGAAAAATACTGTTTGAGTACTAGTTACAGCATTAAATCTCAATGTACAGCACACTAAGGACAGAGATCCTACATGAGGAGTAAGTGCACAGTGACTCCTGTTGTTGACTTAACAAATTGACACTCTTGTTTGTGGCCTCAATAATCACCCTAGGCTCTTGTCATGAGCTGCCAAGGCTATGGAAGCCCCCTGAGTTCACTGACTCTGATCATATTTAGACAAGGCCATGGTCAAAGTGGAAGTTCTCTCCTCCCTTCAGAGAAAGGTACCTCCTTCTTTGATGACCCATTCTTTCCACTGGGATCTCACTCGCGGAGATCTTTCATTTAGTTTTTTTTTTTTTTTTTTTTTTTTTTTCCCCAGAGTGTCTTGGCTTTCCATGCCTGAAATACTCTCATGGGCTTTTCAGCTGGGTCCGCATGCCTTAAGGGCTCATTCTGAGGCCAGAGTGCTGTTTAGGACATCTGCCATTCTATGGGTCTGCTGTGTATCTCACTTCCCATGTTGGATCGTTCTCTCCCTTTTTTATTCTATCAGCTAGTATTTGCCAGACACTATTCTTGTTTATGTGATCCCTTTGGTTCTTAGTCCTATCATTATGATCAATTGTGAACAGAAATTGATCACTGGGACTAGTGAGATGGCATTGGTACATGCCACCTTGATGGGATTGAATTGGAATCCCCTGGTATGTTTCTAACTCTACTGTTTGAGGTAAGTCAGCTTGAGCATGTCCCAAATTGCACATCTCTTCCCTCTCTTATTCCCACTCTTATATTTAACAGCAATCACTTTTCAGTTAAGTTTCAGCACTTAAGAATTACAGTATTCAACCAAAAGTATTAAGTAGAACAAACAAAAAAAATACTAAGAGGGAAAACATATTAAGTTATAGAAATTATGGGACATGTACTCTATAGAATACTATACAGCAGTCAAAAACAATGAAACCCGGTCATTTGCAACAAGATGGAGGAATTTGGAAAACATCATGCTAAGTGAATTAAGCCAGTCCCAAAGGGACAAATATCATATGTTCTCCCTGATTGGCGACAACTAACTGAGCACCAAAGGGGAAACTTGTTGAAGTGAAATGGACACTATGAGAAACAGTGACTTGATCAGCTCTTCTCCTGACTGTTGATGTACAATGTAATACTTTATCCATTTTAGTATTTTTTTTGTTCTAGTACCGTTGGTTGAACTCTGTAATTAGCACACAATTATTCTTAGGTGTTTAAATTTTAAAGTTTTATGTAGCTTAAATAGGGAAACTCCTTTATTTTCTCTCTAATAATATTTTCCCCAGATAAAGTATTATCACCTTGATTTAATATGTCAATCTGATCCAAACCAATCTGGATTCTTGTCAGTAATTTCTAGACTCTTGAACATATAAGTAGTTTGCAGCACTTATTGTGTAGTATCAAATCTATACCCCCATTTCACACACATGTTCTTCTTTAATCTGCAGAGTTATGTGGACTGAATACTACTTTTTTTAATTTTTAACAAAAAATTTTGTTAGGCAGAGTGGACAGTGATAGAGACAGAGAGAAAGGTCTTCCTTTTGCCGTTGGTTCACCCCCCAATGGCTGTTGCAGCCGGTGCGCTGTGGCTGGTGCACCACGCTGATCCAAAGCCAGGAGTCAGGTGTTTCTCTTTGTCTCCCTTGTGGGTGCAGGGCCCAAATACTTGGGCCATCCTCCACTGCACTCCTGGCCACAGCAGAGAGCTGGCCTGGAAGAGGGGCAACCAGGACAGAATCTGGCACCCCGACCAGAACTAGAACCTGGGGTGCCAGTGCTGCAGGCAGAGGATTAGCCTATTGAGCCATGGCACCAGCCTGAATACTATTATGACCACCGCAATATTATGTCCACAGGCAAGCGGATGAGGGAGAAGCTTGGCATCTGGACCATGGATGTACATCTGTGCAGATTCAGAAACACAGCTATGGAGAACTGACTCCAGAACCCACATTCTCAATAACTGCACTGCACTTGACACTGTTCTTCTCTTGCTCACAGAAAGTGATGAGGTAATAAACTTAGTGTTGGCCAAGCCTGAATTCCAAGTCTTCCCTCCTAGGAAATGTTTCAGGTAGTCAAATGGAGAAAGCATCTTGTTGAATTAACCTTCAAGAGAGAATTAAAAATGTACCAACATGTACCAAAGACCTATTTTAAACCAATTACTGTGATAGGATTTTTAAACCATCATTTATTTGAAAGGCACAGTGAAAGGGGGAGAGAGGGAGTGGGAGAGATGAGGGGAGAAAGGGAAGGAGAGGGAGAGAGAGAATTGAGATTTTCCATTCATTGGTTCACTGTCCAAAGGTCCACAAGAGCTGAGCCTGGGACAGGCCAAATCAAGGAGCTAGGAATCCATCCAGGTCTCCACATAGCTGGGAAGGACTCAAGTCCTTGAATCATTAATTACCTCCCAGGCACATTAGCAGGAAGCTGGACTGGGAGCTGAAACAGGATTCCATCCCAGGCACTCTGATGTAGGAGGCAGCTTAACCCATTGAGCCAAACTCTGGCTCTGTGGCAGGATCTGAACACACTCCATGGTATCTGATGTTCAACAGCCCTCTGGGGTAGGTAAGATCATCTCTATCTTATGACTGATGCTCAGAAGAAAATGGTTCCCAAAGTAGAAGGAAAAGTCTGATACCAACATCAGTATACAATGTTTCCACTCTGTTTCTGCCTAATTTAGGCCATGAGGTTATTCAAATAATGGGTTTACAAAGAGGAGAATCCCCCAAAACGGCTGCATGCATAATATTTCACTAGCATGGAGGAACTCTGAAGTGTGTGGAAGATAAAAGAGCACACTCAGGAAGATGGAATTAGTGAAATAGGCTGGTCCAACAGGAAAGGAAACCTGGTGGAGAAACTGAATGGTGCATTAACAAAACCAGACTCAGAAAAGCCTCCTTTGGTGGGGGAGAGAGGGGTCTTGTTTCCTGACTCCAGTAAGCAAGGTAGAACCTGTGACAGTCTCCCACCTTGTCTTGGTAAGACCAGAGGGAGTCAAGAGACTTTGAAGAAAAAAACCTTTTACAATAAACCTCTAAAGGCTGCCTCTAACTGTTGATTTTGGACAGAGAGGACAGCTCCCCTGCTCAGTCCATATGTAGGACCCACAGAGGCACCTGGAAGTGTAACCCCTGCAAGAAGCCCAAAGGGGCTGGTGTAGTAGGTAAAGCTGCCATTTGCAGTGCCGACATCCCATATAGGCACCATTTTGAGTCCTGGCTGCTCCACTTCCAATCCAGCTCTCTGCTATAGCCTAGGAAAGCAGTAGAAGATGGCCCCAGTGGTTGGGCCATCTTAATAAGTGATGAACTGACTAAATCCAAGTTTAATCATACAGCAGAATACTACATAGATGGTTAAAGTATTGAGGTTAGCATCAGGGCAAAGCACACAAATGAGGCTCAATATAAACAGAGTAGAGGGACCAGCGGAATTCCTTGTTGATCAGCAAGCTCATGAAATTCTGTGTTCCTGGGGCCAGCACTGTGGCATAGCAAGTGTTGCAGTGCCAGCATCCCATATGGGTGCTGATTTGAGTCCCAGCTGCTCCACTTCTGATCCAGCTGTCTGCTATGGCCTGGGAAAGCAGTAGAAGACAGCCCAAGCCCTTGGGCCCCTGCACCCATGAGGGAGACCCAGAGGAGGCTCCTGGCTCCTGGCTTTGGATTGGCCCAGCTCTGGCCTTTGTGGCCATTTGGAGAGTGAACCAGTGGAGGGAAGACCTCTCTCTCTCTCTCTCTCTCTCTCTCTCTCTCTCTCACCTCTCTCTCTCTGTAACTCCTTCAAATAAATAAATCTTAAAAAAAAAAGTGCACACTGTATCCTGGGTTTTCCCCTATGGTACATAGGTCCTTCCTATGCTCTTTTGTCCAAGTGAGGAGTATATGGGGACTGGGATCAAGTAGGTGGACATCTAGATTCTGCCCTTATCTGTCATCAAGTAATTATAATCCTACCTTCCACATGAGGAAATAGAAGGTTTTGGGGGATCACTATCATGAAACCAGTGAGAGATCACACCAAGCATGTGTGACCTTGCCTGAGAAGCTGCTTGAGAAGAACAGACTGTAGGTTATCATTGCAGCCTTGAGACACCTACTGGGTCCTTCTGTGTGGGGACACCACCATGAGTGCCCTGGGAAGGACGCAGAATAAATCAGTGTTGCCCCTGCCCTCCAGGAGCTCTTGATCTAAGGAGAGAGACTCCTAGAGGGAAAAAAAAAGCCAACTCTCAGAAGGGGCATAATAAAAGTTTATTGCAGAGATTTATGAGCAGGAAAGACAATAAGTTCCTGGTCTCCTGGGAGGCATAGAAGAAAGTTTTATTGTGAAGGCTGCTCTCTGAAGGAAGGGCAATTTCAAGAAATGGCAATGTGTAGGCCTTCCAAGCCCAGGACAATGTGAGCAATGGCAGTGGGGGGCCTGAAGGACACACACAGGGCGAGTATTTGGGACTCTGCTGCAGAGAGGAGCATGGAGAGAAGCTACGACTAGAGAGAGGAATTTCATCTGAAGACAATGCAAGCCAATGACAGAGGGGCCAGTTCTCCAAGGCAGTCTTAGAGCGCATTCCCTGCTTGGCACAGGGACATCCCTGCAATGCCGGGAGGTCCAGCATGTCCCTGGACTAGGGTCTGTGGGGTCCTCCCTGGTGTCCACACAAAGGCAGGGCAGAGCAGGCAGAGAACTAGAGCCTTGGGGTTCAGGCAGGCACACAGCCCCTGTTTCTCATTGTGTCTCAGGTGTCTTTCCCTGATTTTTAGGTCTATGTGGTTACACCTGAGTGACAGACTCCAAGTCCTGGAGTGAGCCTTTCATAGCCCATGGTCCGCCACAGCTGAGAAGTGGTGCTGCAGCTCAGCCTATTGATTAGAGATGTAGAGCAGACTTGTTGGGGAGCTCAACAGGGTATAAAACAGCCAGCTGCAAATCTGTTTTCTGGCTCACCGTGAGGAACCCAGAGGGGCTCTGAGGCCATGGCTTTGGTAAAGCAGAGGGTCTGAGAGAGGGAGAGCCCCTGCCGTGGGAGACTGTGCCACAAGGGATCCCAACCATCAAGCAGTGGCCAGCCAAGGTCATTGCCTGCAAGGGGATGCTGAGCTCTGCCTCACAACAGTTCAGGGCCCGGCACCTGTTATCTGCCCCAGCCTGCTTCCACGTCAGAATGGAAAGTTCAAGTTGTGCTTCACATCTAAAAGATTAAAATGAATTTCTGGGTAGGCATGACTGTCTGTTTAGAGACTCCTCACTGTGAACAGGTGAGCTAGATTCATTTCTAGTGGGCCTGTGGCAGACAGAAGGACCAGACACCCCAGGTTTGTACCCTGGTATTGACTCCCTGTTCTGAATATTTGGCCAAGCCCCCTTATCCTGTTGAGTTTCACTGAACTCCCCATCCTGCTGACCCAGCAGAAGGGCAAGCCCGAGTCTGTATCTCTCTGATGGAAGCAGACTTTGTGGGATCAAGTCTCCACATCTTCTTGCCACCTCTCCCTACACTCTAGGGATCCTGCTATTATGCTCATAACAACTGCATCATACTCTTTGCTCAACAACTACAACCCATGGCAGCACAGTCCCTCCTTGGTGTTTGTAGGGAATACAGTTTGCAGTCAATTTCAGTGGGTTCTGGCTTGTCTTAGGTTTCACCCTGCGCTTGGCCCCATGAGATCCTGCACACTCTTCCACCCCTCAGTTGAGAAGTTGGTAAGCAGTGTGACCTTAAGTAAGTCAACAAATTGCTCTCTGTCTCAGGTTCTTTGCAATGTGGAAACATGTTAAAACCCAATTAGAGCCCTGTTAGGAGGATTAAGTGATACAAAGTCTGTCAAACTACTGAGATGCCTGACATAACACTGCACCTAAAAACAATGTTGTCCTTGAGGTTGGCACTGTGGCACAGTGGGTTAACCCAGGGTTAAACTGCTACTTGGGATGCCTATTTCACATATCAGAGGGCCTAAGATCAAGCCCCACTCTGATCCAGCTTCCTGCTAATGTACACCCTAGAAAGCGGCACGTGATAGCTTAAGTAATTGGACACCTGCAACCCAAGTGGGAGACCTGGATGGAGTGCCTGGTTCCTGGCTTTGGCTTGGCCCAGCCCAGCCTTGGAGGTTGTATGCATTTGAGAAGTGAACCAGCAAATGGATAATCTTTCCACTACCCCACACTTCCCCTTACTTTTATCCCCATAACTCTGCTTCTGAAAAAAATATTATTTTAAATGCTGTCTTCAGATAATGAAAAATAAAATGGAGAATGGCCGCTCTGATCAAAAGTTGTAGGTTACAGTGAAACCATAAGGACCACTTGTTTTTTCTCATGATTGATATCCCTACAAAATGTTTTACTTCACGGCTCTCAGCTGTTACCCACTTTTGAGACTGTGCTGTTTTAAGTGAGGAGCGACCCGAGGCAGCTTGCCCAACCCTGGCTAGAGAAAGAAGGTTTGTTTTCCACCAGGCTTTCCCCCATCCTAGGGTTTTTTGTCCCTGGAGTGGAAAACTGTTAGAGATAAGGATGACAGCTGTGCTCCCAAACATAGGTGTCTGAATAATTTAGGCCACCAGGTGCCCCTCCCATGGACCCCCAGAACACTGGGCACTGGCCTCATCAGAGGACTTCCCCTACTGCCAAAGATTCTTATGGAGCACATCCCCACAAGACCGCGGCCTTGAAGAGGGCAGGAGGCAAGTTATTCTCTCTGTTACACCACCCAAGAGAGCATCTGGCACAGGGGAATGACTCAAAAAGCACTCACAGACACGGATGCCTGGCTGACTTAAAGAATCCAAGGGAGTTCATAGGCAAGAGACTCAAAAATATCTGGAGGGCAGAGTATCCAGAAATGCAAAAACAGTTTCTGCTCTCTTTGGGAAGTGCTGCTTGGAGTTCAGAGCAGGCAAGTTTTCTCACTATGTTATGCACAAGAAACACAGACACCTTCTTGCCCTATTACAGTGCTTCAGGGGCAACATGAGTCTGACCCAAACATCTCCAGCTCCAGCTCTGACTCCACTTCCTTCCCTGGTGTGACCTGAAGATATTTTAACCTCAGTCTCATTCCTGTATTCCTGCAACCTTGTGGGGTTAGAATATTGAGTTGAGACCTCATGTGCCAGATGAGGACAGGGACAGACCACAAGTAGGACTGAGACAAGCACACATGTTGTAGTCTTTCTCTATCTGCCTGTGTTAATTTTTAATAAGGCAAACAATGAATGTTTGTGCTTCCTTCCTAAAATATTTTGACTAGCGATTTTGTGAGTGGGAAGGTTTTAACCAGCCTGTCTTCAAAATAGTGAGCAAAGAAAACAAAGTGAAACATGCTAATTTCAAGAAGATTAAATTACAGCATGGTTGACATCAAGCAATTTGGGAAAATATTAAAAGTGTGGGAGAGGTTGGGGAAAGAGCTTCCCACATGTGCCCTGTTGAGCGCATACCCTCCCACCTAGGATGTGGCCTATTTGACAATCAGGGGTGCTGTTGTATCTTGCAGTATAAGCAGTGTTGCAACAACATCTTTACAAAAGTAGACCACGCAGCCCCCAAGTCATGGAGCCCTGGACACATCAAGTCTCAATCGCACCTCTTTCTTCACCTGCTAGACCAAACAGAATTCCACCTTCCACAACTGTCTTCACACCCAATGAGTCCTCTTTCTTCTTCCCAGTTCATTTCAGTCTTTTCTTTTTACTTCACTGCACAAGGTGAAGCCTGAGAGAATCTGGAGGCCCCATAGGGTCCTAATGGCTGAAGGGAACATTCTGCTTTTGCTGCTCCTGTCCTCCATCCTTGAGCTGCAAGGGCCTTGCTTAGCCCTGCAGAGCATTGTCAGGGCCTAAACACAGTCCAGGCTCTCCATAAGCAAGGGAAGCTGCTGCATCATGAAGTTCACTTGCTCTATGTTTGAAGCATGTCTGTATACAAAGATGCTGATCTCACAATAATCACTGTTCCCAACCACTCTGAGAATTAAAAAAAAGAGAGAGAGAATTAAACTATTGAACTACAAATTCCTGGCACTGCCCAGCTGTAAGTTCCCCACGTCCCTAAGAAAACTAATGTGAAAGTTTCCACACACTTTCTGGGAAACTCTGACTTCCCCACTAGCCTGTAAAAGCAGCCTGCTCACCAATGCATCCTACATCAAATCCCTCCTGTCCTTGTGCACTCCTCACTCGCATACTGCAGCATCCTGGGGCCATACCTTGTATTTAAGTCCTCACCACCGAGTCTGCTGAGGCCCAGCTCCAGGTGGCCAGAGCAGGACTATTATTAGGATGAAGACCACCACCATATGCAAGCCCCTCTGCTAGGGATGGACTCTTACCCATGGGGGACTTTGTGACAAGTGGGGCTGATTTCTGCCCTTTCCAAGCCTGGTTTTATTGACAAATGCACAAAACTTGGCTTGAAACACAATATTTTTTACCTCTGCCATAAACAGGCTGATCCACAAAGCACTCCCTCTCCCTTTGCTTTCTCTCCACCACCCCAGGCACGATTTGTTCATGATCCTTGGTTGACCTTTTTATTTCAATGGAGGACAGAGACAAAATCATTTTTAAAAAAATTTAAAAATACAAAGACAAATCACCCCATGCATTCATGCAAACAAATGGTTACAGCTGAGGATGAAGTGTGTGACCAATGGACAGGCACAGCCTCTGCTCCCCACAGTGTACAGATTTTAGGGAATTCCTCCAGCCAAGCTAACTGGGGGCTACTGGCACCTGTTCATTCTGCTGAAGAGGGAGAAGGAAATAGAAGAAAGAACAGTTGAGACTGGCACAGACCAAGGTTAGCCCCTTGTCCTGATTCTGTGTTTGTTTTGTAATATTTGTTTGTTTGAAAGGCAGAATGCCAGAAAGAGAGGGTAGGGGTGGAGAGAGAGATCTTCCATCTGCTGCTTCACTCTTTTTTTTTTTTTTTTTTGACAGGCAGAGTTAGACAGTGAGAGAGAGAGACAGGGAGAAAGGTCTTCCTTCTGTTGGTTCACCCCCCCCAATGGCTGCTACAGCCGGTGGGCTGTGCCAATCCAAAGCCAGGAGCCAGGTGCTTCCTTCTGGTCTCCCATGCAGGTGCAGGGCCCAAGCACTTGGGCCACAGCAGAGAGCTGGACTGGAAAAGGAACAACTGGGACAGAACCAGCACCACAACTGGGACTAGAACCCAGAGTACCGGCATGCAGGTGGAGGATTAGCCTAGTGAGCTGTGGTGCTGGCCTGGTTCAATTTTTCAATAGCTACAATAGCCAGTGCTAGGCCTGGCTGAGCCAGGAGCCAGGAATTCCATCCAGATCTCCCACTTGGGTGGCAGAGACCCATGTTACTTTGGCTATCATCTACTGCTTTCCAAGGATTATTAGGGAACTGGATTAGAAGTGGAGTAGCCTGGACTTCCACTGGCACTCTGATATAGGATGTGGGCATTCCCAGTGGTGGCTTAACCCACTGGGATGCAAACCCGACCCTTCTTCTGGGGTTTAGGGAGCCCCTTCACCTAAAGGATTCTGTTTTTCCTATAGTCCCACCTTTCCCTCTTAGTTTTTTATGGGTAATTTAAATGTTGGTTTTTGCCTCAATATTGTAGGAGGCACAGTAAAAATTGAGCTAGATCATAAATATTTTTAGTGCAAAGAACATGGGTATCTTGTTCTCTGTGTGTCCTCAGTGACTAGCCCAGGGTCTGGTACACAGCAGGTGTGTTCAATCAACAAATAATGAACTATTCAATTAACCAATCATCCTATTTACACAAAGAGGTTCCATATAAAAACATATAAACAGCAAAACAAACTTGTTATAATACTAATCATGAATAGATTCAAACACACACACTCAGAATTCTAGGTGTGGGAAACATGTAACAGTGTTTCAGGTCCTGAAGGAACTTCTAGGGAGTATTCTCCCCAGCAGGCAGGGAGAGCACTCTCTGCAGGCTTCTTTCTCAGCATATTCTAAACATATTCTAAACCAGTTCCCAGTATTTAAAGCCAAGTGAACATCATTTTCCTATTTGCCAAGTTGTTAAAACATGTTTGCTTCTGATGTGCTGGCTCAGTGATTACTCGAACCTTCCACTCAATTTCTCACCCACCATAAAAGGTTCTTCTGTGGATTAAATGAATTATTGCAGGAAAAAATGCATAGGATAGGATCTGCACACAGTAAACTCTTAGAAAATGATTAGCTATTATGATTTTCTGACTTCTGAGCAGTAGTAGAATTAGCAAGATGATACGAATATTTCTCTGTTCTAAATTCCCATCAAATTATTCATGAAACTCTCCCCAAATATCACTTCTCAGCAATAGGTGTGACTAAAACTGGTGGCAATAACTTTACAATATTCCGATCTACAATTCTCCAAGTCAGAGAAACCAAATTAAGAAGCACCTCTGCTTCATGCACTAGCTCAGCTCCACTGCATCCATGATCATTTCACCAGCTCCCATGTCAGATATAAACTCTCCAAGCTAAGACTAAAGGAAAGCCAGCCCTTGCAGGCAGCCCCACCCTCACTGGTGGTCCAGGGACCCAACTCCATTCAACACAGATCAGAGAGGAAACAGATCTGAGCACTGTGCTTTCACACCCACTCTCTTGCCCTGCCCAGTTCCCTAGAAGGTAGGTGTCTGATGAGGAAATGGCATGTGAACAGACTCAAGATGCATAACCCAAAGAGAAGTCCCTATCAGGAACCCTGGGGATGTCTGCATCCCTTCAGCTACTATGCAAGCAGCTGTATTCAAGATCTCCAAGGAGTGAAATCTTTGGTTTGCATTTTTATGCTTAAGCCACAGAAAGAACATTAATGCTCAGTGGGCCAGCAGATTCAACCTGAGTCCAGAGAGCCCTCAGACACTTAAAGTGGAAAAGCACACTTGGGTTCTGGCCTCTGGACTCATTTACAGATGAATGGGAACTGGGGGTGGGGTGAAGAACTTTCCCACTCCCTACCCAGTCTTTCCTGATCTCCAGATTATCTGCAGAACTCTGCTCTCCTTGGGTCCTGGAAGCTCAAGACCATCCCAATCCATTTAGGTTATAAGCAATCCTGTCCACACCATGTTCCATGAAATGTGGCCTTTATGATTGTAGCTGAGAAAGAACAAAAGATAGAAGCATAGCAAGGGACAGAGAGTTACTCAGATTTGTTAGTAAGGCAGCTTGCCAATGTAAACACAGAATTAGCTACCTAGAAATTCATCCATTTGAAATTTAAATGTAAACTCAAAAAAATAAAACAAAACCTGATTTAAACAACTCCTAGTGGGAAGGCTTGACTGTAGCCTATAGAAGTAATGAATGAGAGGGCATGAGAATGCAGTAGCACATGGGACAGTTTTGTTTAAAAAAAAAAAAAAGCAGCAATGCCCAAAACCTTGGTGATAGCTGTGTACTCATTTCCTAGGGTTCCCCAAATAAAGTCCCACAGACCACGGCTGGAGCATCAGGGGTGTAATGTGCGCTATCCCAGTTCTGGAGGCTCAGGTGGAGAGCAAGGTGCCTGCAGGGCTGGTTCCTTGAGAGCTGTGAGGGGAACTTGTTCTTTGCCCCTCTCCTAGCTCGGGCAGCCTCAGGTGCTCTCCATCTGCAGACGTTGTCATCCTGTGTCTTTGTCTCATCCTCCCCTGTATGTGTCTGCCTCCATATCCAAAAATCCCCCTTTTCTAAAGATGCCAGTACAGTTGGACTAGAGCCCACTCTGTGGCATCATCTTAATTATATCATCTAACTAGACCCCACTACAATTAGGGTTGTATTCACAGCCACTCCAGGTTAAAACATCAACAACCTCGAGGCAGCCACAGTTCAATCCTTAACAAACTGAAAGGTTTCATTCCTAGTCTTCATCCCAAATAATTTCCACAAATGAATAGTGCTTGGGCACATTTAGGTCTACAGAAACTCAATGGGGTTGGTGTTTGGCTAGGGGTAAGCATACCTGGGGTTCCAACCACATACCTGTGGTGGATTCCCAGACCTCAGCACCTGACTCCAGCTTCCTGTAAATAGAGACCCTGGGAAGCAGTAGTGATGGCTTAAAGAAGTGTATATCCTGCCACCCATGGGGGACCAGGGTTGAGTTCTTGGCTCCTGACTTTAAGTCTTGCTCAGCAAGCACCTTGTGGACATTTAGGGAGTCAACCAGCTGATAGAAGATTTCTCTTTTTCTATGTGCCTCTCAAAAAAAATAAAATAAAAATCTAATAAACCAAATGTTACACATTGAACAAAATTTTGTGGATTTTTTTTTCAGAGCAGAGTCTTCCAATATGTAGGGCAATTCAGAAACTACAACAATTTTTCCAGGTACTATCAGTATTAGCTTCCTACGGCTGCTGTAAGAAATCAGCATATATTTGGTAGCTTAACGCAGCAGCAATGTATTATCTTACAGTTCTAGAGACCAGAAGTCTGAAGTGAGTCTCACTGGATTGAAGTCAAGGTGCTGGTGAGGCCACACGCTCTCTAATGCCTTTTGCTGCTCCTCCTAAGTGTCACATGTATTTCTTTGTTTGGGCCCTAACTTCTACCTTCAAAATGCACCACTCCAATCTCTGTTCTGACATGGCACTGTTTTCTCCTCCTCTGTTGTAGAGTTTCCTTCTACCTTTCTCTTCCAAAGACCCACCAGGAACATCCAGGACAATCCTCCCAACACCTGACCCTTAATTCAATCACACGTGTGAATTTCCCTCTTCCATGTAAGACTGCCTTCACAGGTTCCAACTATTAGGGCCTGATCATCTTTGGAGACCATTACTCAGATTTCAGTATAATATATCCTACATAAAATCCAAGTTCAGTCAATTTTCAGAAAGGAAAACCTTGCCCTTAACAGAACATTAGTTGAGGGCTGGCATTGTGGTGTAGTGGGATAAGCCACCACTTGCAACACAGGCATCCCATATCAGAGTGCCAGTTCATGACCCAGCTGCTCCACTTCCAATCCAGCTTCCTACTAATGCCCGTGGGAAGGCAGAAGATGGCCCAAGTGTTTGGGTACCTGCTGCTGATGTGAGACCCAGATGAAGCTCTGTTTCTGAGTTCCTGGCTCTGGCCTCGTACAGCCCCTGCCATTGTAGCCATTTAGGGAGTGAATCAGTGGATGGGAGATCTCTTCCTCTGTCTCTCCCGACCTCCATTGCACTCTTTCAAATAAAGAAAATAAATCTTACAAAGTAAAATAAAACCAGAGCATTAGCTTGCTAGATATTTCCCCAAATTTCTTCTCAGTTTTCTCCTCATAGATTCTTCCATTTAACACCTTATCAAGGAAGGGTCTGATTTCAAGCACAGTTATGTCCAATTGAGACATGTAAACAGTAGGAAGGTGTTGCTGTGGATTCGTTCTGAGAGGAGGAACATGGTGGGGGCAAGAGGCACGGAGTCACCACACAGACCCCGGGAGCTGGGTGAAAGCAGGCCAGAGGTGAGCAGCCTGCAGACTCATTTATTTCAGTTGGTACAGCAGCTTAAATAGCCAAGGCTGCCAATCCAGTCAAGGGGCGGTTTATG